TCTTCGTCTATCGATATATTGTAATATTAAAGAATGACGGATTTTTGTCACCAAATCTTGTAGTATCTTTTTTTTTCAAATAATAAATTTCGTGGCTGGGAAATGGCTGAAACTGGAAATTTTAAATGCTTTAATATTAATTAAATTTTCAAAATTTTTTGGTGTGCATTTTTTTGGCTTTTTTTTAGGATTTAGGGTTAGTTTTGATAATAAAAATGTATTTGTATTTTCCAGCTTCAGCCGCGCAATAAATAATAATAACATAATATATATATTAATAACATCCTCGTTGATCACGTTCACTTAGACCCTTTCGTTAATCTAACGTGCATGTTACATTATTTGTTGTAGATGACACAAAGTTTGTGAAAAGCTGAAGTAAAATAAGGTCTAAAAAAAAAATTTACTATAAGAAAAATAGTTTTTTAGTATCAGCTACGCGTTGAACATTTCATTTCATAAAGAATATGTGTTTCAAAAAGCAATTTGGATTAACTTCTAAATGCTAATAGGAAATTGTCTATAATCGTTATGTTTAGGTGGTTTCTGTATTCTGTATTTGATTATTTTTCGAATATCAAATATAAACTCAAAGATTGTAATTAATGTTACACGTGTGTATCACATGGCAGAATCGAGCAAATAAAAAAACCGGATTTAATCCAACTTCATTTTTGCATGGCTGAAGATTCTTCTATAAACGTTGACTCAATTTTGTCTGCTTTAACAATACCAAAAATTCCAAATAATGAATTTGATGCGCATACTTTTTATTATGATTTTGCTAAAGACGTAGCCAATTTTCTTTTACGTAATACTCGACTTCACCTTCCTCCAAAACGTACTTTCACTATTCTCGAAATAGAATTTTATTTACGTGATGAAGTTAACGATCATTGTGATCCCTTCAGTCACGGTCATGAACATCAACTAACTTGTGGTGAATGGTATTTTCATCATGTTGGTCGATTTGGTTATCGAGGTGGATCAAGAAAAGGCATCGATATCACGTTTGGATCCAAAAATAGAAATATATATGGTGGAATATTGATACGCGCAATAAAAGATGATTGTGCGGTATGCTACCGGGATATCATTATCTTTATGAACTAAAGACAAAGATAAACATAACACATTTTTCTGT